TTGAATGTGTGTTGGAGGGGAGGGGATATACAAAAGCTCTGTGCTTCATATACCCTCAATTTTGCTGGAAATCTAAAACTGCTCTAAAAATTAAACTCTATTTTTAAAAAGGCAATAACCTCCCTGATGAAATCATTGATTTAAGCAAGATCATCAATAGCTGCTAATATCACCCCCCTAAAAAAAGAGAGCGATAACTAGACATTATTATATACCTCCCGGTGGAAGTGAACAATACTACCCAAGAAGTAGTCTTGAAAAGAGAGAAAGAAAAAATCAAATTTTTAGATCTAACTATATTTTACAGGAAATATAAAGGTGGAGGAGCTTGTTAAATAAAATCATAGGTATGCAATTGGCAAAATCCAGAATGTAGAAAGCTTTAGAGGACAAATTAACCCATACAAATAAATTGAAAGAAAGAAAGGGAAAAAGACTCAAGAGTTTAAGAATCAAATCAAATTTGTCAATCTAGTTTAGAGTCCAATTTGAACAAAGCAGCTATTAAAAACAACCAAAAAATTAGTATATAAATAAAAGAATTAAAAACAGACAAACAAATACATGTATGTTCTTAACAGCACAAGTCACAATAGTCAAAAGATGAAAAGAACTCAAATGTCCATAAAAAGACAAATGGATAAACACATTTTGTGTGTGTGTATTTGTGTATACATATATATGTGTATATGGAACATTATTCAGCCACAATGAGGAATAAAGCATGGTACATGCTACAACATGGATGAACATCAAAACATTCTGCTAAATCAAAGAAGCCAGACACAAACGGTCACATAGTATATAAATCCGTTTATATTAAATAACCCAAATAGGTAAATCCATAGCAACAGAAAGCAGATTGGTGGTTGCCAGAGGCTGGTGGGAGAGGAAAATCAAACTAAATGCTTAATGAATACAGTTTCCTTTTGAGATGAGTTTCCTTTAGACATTTTGGAACTAAATAAAGGCGATGATTGTACACAACACCACTGAACTGTTCATTTTAAAATGTTAATTTTGGCCAGGCACAGTGGCTCCCGCCTATAATCCCAGCACTTTGGGAGGCCACGGCAGGCAAATCAAGAGGTCAGCAGTTCAAGTCTAGCCTGGCCAACATGGTGAAACCCCGTCTCTACTAAAAATACAAAACTTAGCTGGGCGAAGTGGTGGAGAGTGCCTGTAATCCCTGCTACTCAGGAGGCTGAGGCAGGAGAATCACTTGAACCTGGGTGGCAGAGGTTGCAGTGAGCCGAGATGGCACCACTGTACTCCAGCCCTGGTGACAGAGTAAGACTCCGTCTCAAAAAAAAAAAAAAAAAAAAAGGTAATTTTATGTTATGTGAATTCCACTTTAACTAAAAAACAAGACAGAAGCACTTATTAGCTCTTTTGAAAAATCTGAATACCGACTAGATCTTTGATATATTGAAGAATTATTGGTAATTTTTTGGTGTGATGATGGTATTGTGGTTATGATTTATAAGCACATCTGGTTTCAGATTAGTATAGTATATAATAATGGATAAAATTATACAACGTCTGGGATTTGCTTCTAAATAGTCCAGTGTGAGGGGGGCAGGGGAAGTGGGTGGAGGTACAGATGAGCCATGAGTTGACTAACTGTTGAAGTGGGTGATTGGGGTTCACCATACTATTTTCTCTACTCTTGAATGTGCTAGAGGTCTTGCCGAATAAAGTTGTAAGCTTTCCTTTTCAAGTATAATTAAGAAAATCAAGATTAGGATACATTGGGCTCATGTGGAAATCTATTAGGCACTTACTCTATAAAATTAAATCTTTCTTGTATCTGCTGAATCTGAAATATAAATTAAGGGTGGTGGGGCCTGGGTCCAGAGTGAGTTCTCAGACCCAGAACTGCAGGAAGTATCTGGGGCATCAGGGAGCTCCCTTGCCTGGCCCTCAGCAGCCTGATGGAGTAAGAGGGTTTGTTGAGTGCTTCAGATCTGGTTACTATGGTAGAAGAACAAACATGCATATTGTGTCACATTGCGTACAGCTCAAAAAAGGGACATTAGTCACAAGTGCCAAATGTGCGGGGCTGCATTAGTGGGTCTTTCTACATATGCAAAGCACATTTCTGGCCAGTTGGACAAAGATAACTCTGGTGCCCAGGAAAGAGTAGATGATGGAAAAGTAGAGGGAGAGGAAGATTATTTTGACAAGGAACTTGTTCAATTAATAAAACAAATAAAAGAACAAAGTCGACAAGAAGAACCTTCCAATAGCAACCAAGAAATAAACTCCAAAGAGGGGCAAACCCAATGGAGCCGAGAAGACCGAATTCCTCACTAAGACAGTGAGAGTTACAGTCAGCCAGGATGGCTTCATCCTGGACCTCCACAGTGGGATTGGAAATGGGGAAAAGATGGCTTTAATAACACATGGAGAAACCGTTTTCTGCATTCTTTGAGAAATAGTGGTGGACCAAAAGGATGTTCCGAGTGACATTAGGGTGTTGCCGGAGGTTTCTCTACTTGGTTTCACAATCATAATTCTGGAGTCGGTTGGCATTCAAACAGTGGAACAGTAGATTGGAATCATAATGGTACAGAAGGAATTCCAGTTGGCATTCTGAAGGAACAGGTGGCTTTTCCAGTTGGCATATGAACAATAGTAACAGAAATTAGAAATCCAGTGTATGTAGTAAAAATAATTGCAACTACAGTGGCCCTGGAGACAAATTTCAACCAGGCAGAAACAGAAACTCTAATTATCAAATGAAAGATATGACTATGCTACGGAACAAGAAATCTAATAAGCCAAGCAAATACAATCAAGAGAGATATAATTAGCAGTGGCAAGAAAATGGGAAACTTGGTATGACTGCCACAATTAGAGGTCCTTCTGAAGGATTTACAAGTGATACATTTCTTTCAGAAGGCTTACTTGACTTCAGTTTTGAGCAGCCAGAAAGCCAAACCACTAAACAAACAGACACTGCAACTTCCAAAATAAGCAGAACGAATGGCAGTACAGAAGGGGAAACCTTCGTTGCTGGACTCCTTACCTTTCTAAAATAAAAATTCAAAAGAAAAAAGATTTGGTAGTCCTCAAGTTGAAGGAAGAAAACATGACAAACTTAGAGGAAGCATGAGGAATTTTATATGCACTTCTTAGAAGAAATACTTTCATATTTAAGCCTTCTTTTTTATTTTTTTCTTTTTAGTTGACACAAAATAATTGTATATCTGTCATCTGAGTCTAGATTAAAAAAATAATAATTGTATATATTTATGAGATACAGAGTGATTTTCCATGTGTGTATACAATGGGTAATGATCAAATCAAGGTAATTAGCATGTCCAGAACCTCAAATATTTATTATTTCTTTGTGTTGTGAACATCCAAAGTCCTCTTTTCTAGCGTTATGAAAATATAGAAAGCTGGCTCTTTTAGCTTTTTGTAAATATACAATAAATTATAATTAACCATGTGACTCTATAGTGCCACAGAACACCAGAACTCACTGGAACTCATTGATCAAAATGAACATGACTGATATCTTTTCATTAAATGAGAAGCTATGGATTTAGAATCATTAGATAAACCTTAAGATTTGGTGGGCCCATCCAAACCCATCATTTTACTGCTGGCAAGGACCAGAAAGGTGCCTTATCAAAACATCTTTTAAAAATAATAATAGTTGTCAGAGCACAATAAGCTCACACTTGTAATCCCAACATTTCGGGACACTGAGGATCACTGGAAGCCAGGAGTTCAAGATCATCCTGGACAACATAGTGAGACCCTGTCATTACAAAATTTAAAATTTTTAATAAATAAAAGTTATATTTAAAAACTCAAAGTATGAAAATGCAGGGGACCAGGCATGATAGCTCATGCCTGTAATTCCAGAACTTTGGGAGACCAAGGCAAGCAGATCACCTGAGGTTAGGAGTTCAAGACCATCCTGGTCAACAAACCTCATCTCTATTAAAAATATAAAAATTAGCTGGGTGTGGTGGTACATACCTGTAATCCCAGTTTTTTGGGAGGCTGAAGCCGAAGAATTGCTTGAACCCGGGAGGTGGAGGTTGCAGTGAGCCAAGATTGTGCCACTGCACTCCAGCCTGGGCCACAGAACAAGATTCCATCTCAAAAAAAAAGAGTGGGGGGGAAATCATTCCTAATTCCATAATTCAGACAATTTTAAACTTCCATTAAAATTTTGGGGTGTTTCCTCTCAGCCTTTTTTTTTTAACTCTTAGGTTTGACTTTTCCTACTATAACTCTTAAGCACTTTTACATATTAATGCATATACTTAAAAACAATTACTATTATTTTTTTTGAGACAGAGACTTGCTGTGTCACCCAGGCTGGAGTGCAGTGGCGTGATCTCAGCTCACTGCAACCTCCTGGGTTCATGCGATTCTCCTGTTTCAGCCTCCCAAGTAGCTGGGACTACAGGTGTGTGCCACCACGCCCAGCTAATTTTTTGTATTTTCAGTAGAGACGGGGTTTCACCATGTTAGCCAGATGATCATGATCTCCTGACCTCGTGATCTGCCTGCCTCGTCCTCCCAAAGTGCTGGGATTACAGGCGTGAGCCACCGCACCTGGTCACAAACAGTTATTTTAATGGTTGTCTAATCTTTCATGGAGTTGATATAGTTTACTTTTTCATTCTTCTATAATTTTGCATTCATATTATTTCCAACTCTTTATGACTACAAATAAAGCTGCAATGAACATATTTATATACAAAACAATTATAATTAGTATTACCATAAAAGTCATATTTGATTTTTCTCAGAAGTAAAATAAGACTTCATAATGGAAGTCTTTTTTTCCTTTTGAAAATTTTCTAATGGACAGAATGGAGTTAGAATCTCCATTTTCTTTATGGATCAAGCTATGAACAGTCAAAATGATAAGATATAGAGGCGGGCTGATGATTGTCTTTCCATTATGAGAAAAACAATCTTTATGTGAGCAGTAGAGGCAGAAAAAAATTTCAACTAAAATTATACCCTACCTGTTGAAAAGCCTTTTCTGCTTGACGTTCAGCATCAATAACTTGTCTCTCAAGCTGCTGCATCTGTAAAGTGAGGGAAAATATAAATACAAAAATTATTTCCCTTTTCTGAAAAAGGCTTAAAAACTCTCATAATGTCATCATCAGTTTGAATATTTTAAAGTAGTTCACTGGAGATGAGTTAAATACAGTTAGCACATTAAAGGCCTTCTACATATTTAAAAGTTGATCAAAATGCCAAAGTTTTGATACTTTTAATACAAGAAATATATATATTAACATATACATATTAAAACAAGAAAATCAATCTAAGGAAAGAAAGGCTTCAAATGTCCTACATGACGGGTTGATCAAAAAGTCATCAGGGAAGTGGTGTGTTCTCATAAACTCTGGGGGTGCTATGTTCAAATCAAAACTCTGGGTAGTTTTACATTCTTACAGATTGATGATTGATGAAGACAGCATAGAAGAGATTCTTCGATTAAACAGACAGACACACAAATACTAAAATGAATGTTATAAAGAGAATTTTAAAAGCCTTAAGAAGGACCCGATGCTAATCAACATAAGGGATGTGTTGTACCAGGGGCTAAAAACACAAATCGTGAGGCAAAACTCAATTTTATTCTTTTTGGCTCAGTGCTGATGTCTGGCCCACTTTAGAGCCGTCTGTGACTTGATCTCTGCTCATTTTCAACGTTTTGTTTGTTGGGAGGCCAGGTGCGCAGAACTCATGGTATTATACCTCTCACGCGCAGCAGCCCGGAACACACCCGCGGTAGCCGACGCGTCCGGCTCCTGTCCCGCCCTCTTCTCTACGCCGCCACCACCACCGAGAAGCGACCTCCCGCAGCTAGAGTGGCCCAAGCGGGAGCGCGGCCGCCAGCTCCGGCTCCGGAATTCGCGGGACCCCAGGACCCGATCCCAGGCTGCCTTTGACTCGGGTGCACTCTCAACGCCTGGAAAATGGTTTCCGCTAGTGGGACATCATTTTTTAAGGGTATGTTGCTTGGGAGCATTTCCTGGGTTTTGATAACTATGTTTGGCCAAATTCACATTCGACACGGAGGTCAAACTCCAGACCACAAGCACCATCACCTTCGTCCACCTAACAGGAACGATTTCTTAAACACTTCAGAAATGACACCTATGGAGCTCAGTAAAGGTATCCGTGTTTTCTGTATCATCTTTGGAGAATCCGAAGATGAGAGTTACTGGGTTGTACTGAAAGAGACCTGGACCAAACACTGTGACAAAACAGAGCTCTATGATACCAAAAATGATAATCTGTTCAATATAGAAAGCAATGACAAGTGGGTACAGATGAGGACCACTTACAAACACGTCTTTGAAAAGTATGGCAACAACTACAACTGGTTCTTTCTTGCACTTCCCACTACATTTGCCGTCATTGAAAATTTAAAGTACCTTTTGTTTACAAGGGATGCATCCCAGCCCTTCTATCTGGGCCACACTGTTGTATCTGGAGACCTCCAATACGTGACTGTGGAAGGAGGAATTGTCTTAAGTAGAGAGTCCATGAAAAGACTTAACAGACTTCTCCATAACTCTGAGAACTGTGCAGGTCAAAGTGTGATTTGGAGGTTATCTGAAGATAAGCAGCTGGCAATATGCCTGAAATATGCAGGAGTTCATGCAGAAAATGCAGAGGATTATGAAGGAAGAGATGTATTTAATACAAAACCAATTGCACAGCTTATTGAAGAGGTATTGTCTAATAACCCTCAACAAGTAGTAGCAAGCTGCTTGTCAGATATGGCTATTACTTTTAATGGACTGACCCCCCAAAAGATGGAAGTAATGATGTATGGCCTGTACCGGCTCAGGGCATTTGGACACTATTTCAATGACACACTGGTTTTCTTGCCTCCAGTTGGTTCAGAAAATGACTGAGGGCTGGGGAATAATAGACCTAAGCTGTCCAAGAGCACTTGAAATGTGGCTAGTCCACATTCAGATATAGTGTAAGTGTAAAATGCACACTCATTCAATAATACATATACTATTAGAAGACAGGATGAAGATGTAAAATATCTCATTAGTAATATTTTATATTGAAATAATGTTTTGGATATTTTACATTAAATAAAATATACTATTAACATTAATTTCACCTTGTTTTTTATTTTATGAATGTATCTATTAGACTATTTTAAGATACACATGTAGCTCACGTATTTCTACTGGATAATAAAGGCATAGAACATTTGTTGTCACCATCTAGGTTCACATATTTAACTGCCTGTCCTGTCAGCATGGCAGCATTTTTTCTTTCTTCTTTTTTTTTTTTTTTTGAGATGGAGTCTCGCTTTGTCACCCAGGCTGGAGTGCAGTGGCAAAATCTCGGCTAACTGCAACCTCTGCCTCCCGGGTTCAAGCGATTCTCCTGTCTCACCCTCCTGAGTAGCTGGGACTACAGGCACACTCTACCACACCCGGCTAAATTTTGTATTTTTAGTAAAGATGGGGTTTCACCATATTGGTCAGACTGGTCTTGAACTTCTGACCTCAGCTGATCCACCCGCCTCAGCCTCCCAAAGTGCTGAGATTACAGGTATGAGCCACTGCGCACAGCCCCATGGCAGCATTTTAAAAGGCAGTTTACTGTAGGGATCTAGATTCTGGAAGACATTTCAAATATTTGGATATGTAAATAATATTCTGCAAATGCATTCTCAGTACCTCATATCTAATTTCTGTGAAAGATTTCAAATGTTTAGTGAGCAAGTATTGTGGTTTAAAAGTATTTGGCTGAATTACTTGTTTAGACTATGGCACTATACAGAAGCAACGGGACAATCACTATTATTTAGATGTCTTTTAGATGTCTCTAGAATATTCCCTAAACCAAAAACCAACTAACGAACACATGCCAATACCACATTCTTCCACTACTGGCAATATGCTGACAATTGTCACTTCTACAATGTAACTATTCTATTTTCAGGGAAATTTGGCTTTTCTGGAGCCTTACTTAGCCTGGGTTTTGAATATTGTCAGGATTGCCAGTAGAAACAGAAGAATGCACAAAATTTCGCTAGTGAAAAAATAGTTTTCATAAGAGGACTATGCAAATATATTGTCTGATTTCTCCTTTTCACATGTTTAGTTTCTGGTGATAACACGAAGGACAAAAGCTTGCTTCACTGTTAAATAACTAACACAGGTCTTTCTACAGAGCAGGTATTCAATGTATTATCAATTATTGCTGAAATGACAAAGTTCTCTGTCAGGCCTAAAGTATCATGCACATATGAAGGATGCTATCATTCTTTTTACCACTGCCAAATAACTTCTTTTCTGCTCCTATGGCACTGATTTCCTATCTCGTACTACCTTCCCAACTATATTGTAAGTTGTTGGAAAGCAGAATCAGGCTCAAAAATTTCTTGCTTTTTTAATGAAAAGGAGGTAATCCTTGAAATATTAATATAGGGAATGGAAAGAATGCTGAACTTAAAGGCAAGACCTAAATTAGAACCCAGATTCCAAGACTTACTAGGTATGTGATGATGGGTACATTATTTAACTAATCTGCGGCTCCGTTCTTTACTCATAAAATGACATAACACTTATTTCACAGCAGTTATGTGAAGATTAAACAGAAAAGCATCCAACATAGTATCTAATACTTAATAGGTGTTCAAAAATATTTACATAGAAAATTTAAAAGCAGCTATTTCTTCCATATATATGTGTTATTTTTGTGAATAATTTTTTTTTTTTTTTGGAGAGATGAAGTTTAGCTCTGCTGTCCAGGCTGGAGTGCAGTGGTGTGATCTCAGCGCACTGCAACCTGCCTTCTGGGTTCAAGTGATTCTCTTGCCTCAGCCTCTGGAGTAGCTAGGATTACAGGCACCCACCACCACACCCACTAATTTTTGTATTTTTAGTAGAGATGGGGTTTCACTGTGTTGGTCAGGCTGGTCTCAAACAAATAATTTTAAGTTAGGAAACTCTATTTGCCAATAGTTTGCCACTGGACTCTAAAATTCTTGTGTATAAAATGTGGATAGGGCCGGGCGCGGTGGCTCAAGCCTGTAATCCCAGCACTTTGGGAGGCCGAGGCGGGTGGATCACGAGGTCAACATGGTGAAACCCCGTCTCTACTAAAAATTACAAAAAATTAGCTGGGCACGGTGGCACGTGCCTGTAATCCCAGCTACTCAGAAGGCTGAGGCAGGAGAATTGCCTGAACCCAGGGGGCGGAGGTTACAGTGAGCCGAGATCGCGCCATTGCATTCCAGCCTGGGTAACAAGAGCGAAACTCCGTCTCAAAAAAAAAAAAAAAAAAAAATGTGGATAATATAACCTGTTCTAACGACCTTACAGGATGTTGTAGGGATAAAAATAGAAAAATATATTCAAGCAATATAAAAAGCTGGCGGTATCTCATTAATTTAAAAATATTATGTAGCAGTTGTATTGTTATAATTTGAAGGATAAAAATAAAAAGTCACAAATGTCCAAAAACAGAGAATTATCTAAATATATCAGTAATGGTACATCTATACAATTAAATGCCATACAGTCATTACAAATGTACATGGATGGATGAAATGATATATTTGGGACTTCTTTCAATGTAACACAGGAGGAAAGACGTAGGTCAGGGTGCAGATGGAACAGGATTGGCCCTGAGGTGACAACCATGAAAGCTGGGTGATATGTACATGAGGGTCCATTATAACATTCTGCTTACTTCTGTATGTTTGAAAATCTCTCTAATAAAAAGTTTTAAACATATACGAAAAGATGTACATGGCATATTTAAAAATAAGTGTAAATTACATATAGAATGTTATACATAAATGATGTATTGAGAAAAAAGGGGCTGCAAAGCAGTAATGAATGTTGCAGTCAAATTTTTGTTAAAAAAAAAAAACTCGGCCGGGCACAGTGGCTCAAGCCTGTAATCCCAGCACTTTGGGAGGCCGAGGTGGGTGGATCACGAGGTCAACGGATCGAGACCATTCTGGTCAACATGGTGCAACCCCGTCTCTACTAAAAATACAAAAAATTAGCTGGGCACAGTGGCGTGT